AAAATTCTCTGACAAGTGTCCTCTGAGCATCTGGCTGCCTCAGCCTAGAGGGGACACTCAGCGTTGCATTTCGTGATTCGCTGGACAGAACTAGAGATGTGGTCTTACATATCTGAAGGAAGGTTAGAAAATCTAGTCCTACTGTGTGCCTGAAAGCCAAGTCAGAAATACTTGGCAAACAGCACCTTTTCTGTTGTTGGCAGGAGTCCCAACCTTCTCTGGGTCACTTTCCCTGCTACAGAGCTGCCCTATAACCTTTGCCCTGACCTTCTATGGGTCACTTTCCCAGGAACAGAACTGCCCTATGACCTTTGCCCCGACCTTCTCTGGGTCACTTTCCCTGCTACAGAACTGCTCTATAACTGTCCTCTCAGGACAGCTAGCATGCTCCATGGTCATGGTCACTATCATACACTGGCAGACTTGTGTTTTCCTCCTCTGAGACTGGGAGTTTCTCAAGGAATGGGAGCAGGTGACATGGGAAACATTTGACAACAGTGACCATTCTCTGCAGTGAGACACCAAGTCCTGTCTGTGTTCTGCAGGACCTTCCCACGTCCACTCCCTCATCCCACCCCAGACACAGTATTACTCAGACCCCCAAAGACCACCCCAGTACAGAATCCCTGCATTATCTATTCCTTGTGGTTGCACCATGTCTCTTTTGCTAGACACTCTATCCCACTCTTTTCAAGATCTCAGGTTTCAGCTGTGATCTGATCAGACAAGCCTTTGAGGAAACCACTCTATAAAGATGACCACGAACTCTTTTTGCCTTCTTAACTCAAAAAAAAAAACTCTGTTCATTAATTTTTTTTCCTCCACAATGGTGATCTATTCCTAACTGACAATAATATAGACACAGGTATCATATGATATTACCACATGACAAATATCAAGTAACTTATTTGTATATATGGTATTAAGCTCGGTATTCATTTACTCTGTTTTCTTATATCCCACCCTTCCAAATCCATACATATGGATGTAATTTCCATAAACACGGGACAGTAATATCTACTCAATAAATATCTCTCAAATGAATGAGAGAAAAATAATACGGGAACCTCCTGTGTTCTTACCTCGCTGAACAATGCTGAATTTCTCTTCCTCATATGATGAGATTTGCATTCTTTCAGCATGCTAGTAACCCAGAAATAATCAATTGTTGGAGCTGTAAGGACAGACAGGCCCCTTGTTTATTTTTCACTCTGTATTTCAATTAATAAAGCCTAAGTTTAAAAAAAAGAATCTGGGCTTACAAAAATTAAATGGTTGAGTTACTTACATAAGGTTAGTTGTTGACTAAATTATTGACCATGTTTCTCATATAAAACTCTAACTTTCCCTTTCTCTAATTTTTAGTAGTTGTTTTAGACATACACATAGAACCTAACATCTTTCTCTCGCATAACTGCCCTGTCACTGGTCCTCCTTTACCTTCACAATATCCTTTATTCTTTTATTTATTTCCTATCTACAACTGGTCAAAAAAATCTATATTAAGTGCTTTAGAGTATTATGTAACAATTCACACCTGCCATAAGAAAACATTATTCAGCAATATCACTATGAAGCAGGTAAACAAAGTTAGTTTAATAAAGAGAGCAAGGTCTTGTGCATGTATGATGGACTGTTGCCAGAGCCACCGCGAGGGTGTTGCCATGGCAGAAGCACAGAAGTGAAATCTAAGAGGGTAACGACTGGAGCAGCTCCAAGTGGGACACCAAATCCAGGTTCAGATGCGAGGGGCGTGGCAAGAGCTTACAGCTATGGTCGATTTAGTTTATAGACATGTCAGTCGATCTAGTCCCAAGGTGGATGTGCCTTATCTAGACATAGCCGTGAGTTGTCATATCCCATAATATTTCTGGAACTTCATTATTGTTGTTCAAGGATAAACTATAAGCTGGGATTTCCTGATGCCAACTAGTAAGACATTTTGCATGCCTCTGCAAATTCAGGGTAGTTTTTAAATAGAAGAAGAACTGAAAACAGTATTTATTTACTTCAATCAATGCTAGGTACTTAAAAAGTATTCTATAGATAATGGCAAAATCATCACTCTAACCCTGTAAAGTTGGCACCATTACTTATCTCCTCTTCACAGACAGCAAAGCTGACAGAGAGGTTAAGTGGTCTTCCCATAGATAAACATTTATGGGGATGAGGTTTGATCCCAGACAGCCTGGCAGTCTCAGCACCTCTGGTCTGTCCTACTTCCTCTCAATATTAGAAACAGGGACAGAAAGTAATATAATATATACTATAAGAGCTGAGTAATAAGATATGATTTCATGCTAGTCACTAATACCAGTTATTCCTAATTCAATGAAGTCTTAGACATTGTCCAGAGTTGAAATTGAAGCGAGCAGTAAGTAACTTAGGGTTAATGGAGAGAGATTAAATGAATCAGAGAATGATTCAACCTTTTGCCCACTGCACATTTACTCATTAAATCATCTATTTATTCATTTTTTCATGCATCTGCCCACCCATTCATTCAACCAAATACTGAGCGCTTTCATGTGCTAAACACACAGCCATGTATGGCAGATAATACATGGTCTGCCTCAAACAACCCAGCAAGCCAGGCAGGGAAATCAGGTGTAGGGAGTCCATGGTCTAGTGTGGCCAGCACTGGAAGGGTGCTCACTGCAGAGTGTGGAGACAGGCAATTCAACTGTATTTGGGGAATGTATGAGGGGACAGGAAGGACGTGTAAGAGAAGAATGTTAATGGAGGAAAACAAAAAACCCACACCCAAGCAAATTTTCTAACTGAAAGTTCTAGAATGTACAGTTTCCATCAATAACAAGAAAAAATGAACATTTTCTTTAAATACAAAAGATAAAAACAGAGTCTTGTGTATCCCAGGTTAAACTTGCTATGTGGGGGAGTCTGGCCCTGAACCCCTAATCTTCTTCCTCCTCTACTTCCCATACACTAGCATTGAGAACGTATGCTGCCAACCCCAGGTTTGAAAAAGGCATTGAAGCATAGCTGTTAAGAACACAGGTTTGGGATCAGCCTGGCAAGCTTTTCTATTTCAAGCGGAAACTGTTCTGGTAAGATGAGTACCATCTCAAGATTCTCCTAGGGGTCAGATAAGATCGCACGTGAAAGCTCAGCACCATCTGTGCCCTGTGCACAGCCAGTGACTATCAACTGACATTTGTCACCTTCCTCTCAGGATCACAATTTCAGCTACTTGGTTCCTTAGTCCTTAATCTTCTTAGTAGCTCTGACTTTATTTAAGAACCGAAGTGTCTAAGTCCCCTTTTTTCTTTTACACAGGGAATAGAAAGGAAATATAATTTTTGTAAAACTGATTTTTATTACTGTGAATTTATTATACTGCATGGTTCTTGGTGACTAGGTAACCAACAGAGTAGCTAATTCATTATTTTAGCTATTTAAACAGGACCTCAGAAGAAAGGCACCCTGTGGTCACAGAGCACGGGGACTATATTAATGAGAAGATTAAAACAAAGCTTGGCTCACATCATCCCAGATAAATCACAAATGTACCCAAGGATAATTAACAATCACAAACTGCCTGGAACTACATTATTTGGCTGGTTGGTTATTGTAAAGTCAACCTTTATTGAATAGGTGAGCTTAAAGGAGCTGATGAATAGTTATTTGACATGCCCAGTGAGGCCCCCTCATAATAAATATCTGAGGAGACATTGGAGCGCCCCTGAGTTTCTGTGGTCTGCTTCATCCTAATTTGCCTTTAGAAGTGAAGAGCAACTTTGAGCTCGCCTCACTGGAAGAGGCTGTTCACAGAGCCGCCACTCGTGCCATGTGTTCTAGAAGCTCCTTGTGCACTGTGGAGAGAACCATTGGATCCTGTGCCTAAATGGCGACATGAGGCTGACATTTCAGTGCTTAACAAAAGACAAAAAAAAAAAAAAAACCCTCAGGGAAGAAGGACATTTTGTTTTGTGATTTCAAAGGTTTCAGTCCATTGTGGCAGAAGTGACAGGGCAAAGTTGCTCACCTCATGGTGGCTGGGAGGCCGGGAGAAGACAAAAATGACTCGTGATAAGGTATACCCCTATGTTAGTTGCTGTTCTATTTCTGTGAAGAGACACAATGACTAAGGAAACTCTTACACAAGAATGCATTTAGTTGGGGGCTTGCTCACAGTTCGGAGGTTTAGTTTATTATCATTGTGGTGGGGAACATGGTGGCCTCCATGCAGGCAGGTGCTGGAGCAGTAGCTGAGAGCTACATCCTGATCCACAGGCAAAGCAGAGCACTCCCAGGTGGCCCTCAGGAAGACAGGAGATAAAACACAAGAGCACATGTGGCCAACCTATGGGCTGGGTCTTAAATAGCTGGTAAGCGTGGTCCCGGGCATCTCCAGAAGAGGAAGGGCCACTAATGGTGGGCTTTTTCAGGGGTGGAGTCTGGAATGAGGCAAATCCAGGGGAGGGGCTGTTGCTTGGCACCCTGAGGTCAGGGTTCCAAACACCTCCAACAAGGCCACACCTCCTAATCCTTCTAATCCTTTCAAATAGTCACTCCCTGGTGACTAAGCATTCAAATATGTGAGCCTATGGATACTGTTGTTATTTAAATCACCACAACCCTTCAAAGGTATGCCTCTAGCAGCCTGCTCCTTCTAACATGAAATGCTGTGAATATACAAATCCACCAATGGATTAATCTATTGACAAAATCAAAACCCTTATGATCCAAACATTTCTCACATACCCTTCATCTGTCAACAAATTTTGAGAGGGGGCCATTTGGTAATAAAGCCATAACAATACCCTGATGTAGAGGTCCTAACCATTATCAAGAATCCAGTCTTTGGGAGAACAAAGGTGCAGCTTTCTGACTTAGAGCCACTATTTCTTTCCAGTTTCCTCCACAGCCCCAGAGAACTTCTATCTACATATGTTCTGGCTTTACAGAGTGAGAGCCATGATGCCCAGGTACAGGTTTCAGAGGCCAGCTGAGCCTTTGCCCCTTGCTTCCTCTTGCAGATTCCTATTACTCCATGCCGGCTATTACGGGGAGTTCTTGAACCAAGCCCTGGCTGAGAGGATGGGGGTCGACGGGGAAACGGTGGTCTTGAAGAACATGCTCATTGGTGTAAACCTGATTCTCCTGGGATCCATGCTCAAACCTTCTGAGTGTCGGCTGGAGGTGACCACAGAAAGGGGCCAGAGACAAACTGTGGAGGAGGAAGGAGGGGCTTCCAGCTACAACACATCCAGCAAGGAACAACCTATGGTCTTCAACCATGTGTATAACATCAATGTCCCGCTGGAGAGCCTCTGCTCCTCAGGGCTGGAGGCTTCAGCTGAACAGGAAGTGAGCGCTGAAGATGATACTCTGGCAGAATACATAGGTCAAACCTCAGATCACGAAAGCCAGGTCACCTTTACCCACAAGATCAACCTCCCCAAAAAAGCCTGCCCGTGTGCCAGTTCTACCCAGGTGCTGCAGGAGCTCCTAAGCCGGATCGAGATGCTGGAGAGGGAGGTGTCGTTGCTGCGAGACCAGTGCAGCACCAACTGCTGTCAGGAAAGTGCAGCCACAGGTAGAGTTTGAAGCACTTGCAGCCTGGTCCCTGGTGGGGAAGGAGAGAGCTGAGCTGAGCGGAGAGGGAGGTGGGATGAGAGGAAGCAAAACCCAGCGTCTCTTCACAGGGTCAAAAAGAAAAAAGTGTCTGGTATATAGCTCTCAGTTAATGTGTCATCTGTAAGATCTAAATGCAGCCATTCCCTGGGGATTCGGTTCACAGATTCTCAACACTGCTTACCTAGTTTGAAATATATTAACCTGATTTTGGAGGGATGAGTCAGGTAATGGTACGTCAGCTCGGCACAGCAACTTTGATAGCAGGCAGGGAATTTGATGTCTGCCTTCATTCATCTTTGCTTTTCACAGGCTGTTGAGTTGATTTCCGTTCAAGTTAACCTGACTGACTAGGGCATGCGGTGCTCTGCCCGTTCACTCGCAGCCTTGCTCCCCTCTGAGCAAATGGAAGTCATTAAGGTCTCAGGTGACCTGTTCCCCTCTCCTCCATCAAGATGGGAATTTTATCCTGACCTACTCCATAAATATAGACATGTGCATTCACTCACACACTCACACACACACACACACACACACACACACACCACCTTTCCCTGTTCTCCAAAAGGCTGAACATTCAGTAGATTTGCTTCTGTCTTTGTTCATCTGCCTCCTTACTGTAAGATGTGATCAAGACTTCAAAGTCAGACTTTGACTTCAGATCTGCTCGGCCACCCCTGGCTTGTGATCTAAGCCAGTCACATAGCCCATGCCTTTCCTTCCTCATCTACAAACTGTGACAGACTAGAACAATAAGGAGCTATCAACTATTAACTCACCTAGTTGGATGAGAGCCTGACTCCCAGTAAGCATCTCATGAGTAAGGGCGACCGCTAGCCGCCCCCAAGTCAGTCTTGTGACCAGCTTTCTCCACCCAAAGGATCCCTCAGACTCATGTAGCTGTGGCTCTGGATGACATGGAACAACCATCATATTATCTTGGGTGCAAGTGTTTACCTCATACGATCCAATAGTTCAAGATGAAAGTGGAGGGAAATTTTTTTTTTTTTTTTTTTTTTTTTTTGGATTTTTTGAGACAGGGTTTCTCCGTAGCTTCCCTGGGCCCACAGCTTCAGAGATAAGACCCATTCTCCCAGAGCCATAGTAAGATAGAGGCCAATCTGACCAATGAAACATTTTGTAGAATTTCCTCAGCTTATAGACAAGCAGTGTGATGAATGGACAAGGAAATCAAAATGTCTATGTTCCTGTCCTTTAGTGAGTCCTGATAGATTGGTTTGTCTTTTTGGTGGCATTTAAAAACAAGAAAAGGCCATAGGTTTTCATGGGTATGGTCTCTCCTGCTTGCAGAATCCACCAGCTTGCCACTCAAATCATTGGCTGATTAGGAAAATCTATTAGGGTAAGCTATGTTAAGCAATGTCCGTGCAGTATATTTTTCAGGCAATGTGGACCACATGACACAGAACTTACTAGATTGAACTTAGCCTTTATTATTTAGCCATAAAACTTTATACAAAAAGGCTGGGGGCAAGATCTATGCAAGAAATCCTGAAGGTATCCTAGCAGACAGTAACTGAAAGCATGCTTCAGGAAATCTCTGAAGAAGCCCTAGAATTGATAAGTGTGCAGTAGCCAGTGGAGGAAGGGAGAAGATGGGACAGGTCTGTAACATCTGTAACTTCCATCTGCACAGTTGGTCCAGTGCTTGGCCTACATCCCTCCCAAGCCCTCTCATACCTGTACTGGGCACCTGGACATCTTTGTCAGAGGGATGATCTTAGCCTATCAAAACACTCAACATGCTCAAAGACATAGAAGGCCCTAGAACTTGCATGTGCTCAGAGAAAGACCTCAGCCCATGAGCAAGTATGGCTCACACTGGTTCTAGAATACCGCAGGAATCTGAGTTGCTCTTCCTGGGACTTTGCATAGTCATGTTCTGGTTCAGCCACACTCTTTCCTGATCCCCTCATCCAACCCGCTATGGCAAGTTTCTTCTGGGAACACTTTTTTATTGCTGCTGTTGCTTTTGTTTTTCAAGACAGGGTTTCTCTGTAGCTTTGGAGCCTGTCCTGAAACTAGCTCTCGTAGACCAGGCTGACCTCAAACTCACAGAAATCCACCTGTCTCTGACTCCTGAGTGCTGGGATTAAAGTTGTGGGCCACCACTGCCCAGTGTGGGAACACTTTTTAACAAGTGTTCTTATCAGCTTCTAGGGAACCTAAGCTAAGATGTTCTGCAGGTGATCTGAAAGAGGACAATGGCCCAGGTCTTACCTGTCTTCACCTTCAGTGTGGTGTTAGGCGTTGACAATTGCACTACGTGGAAACATTTATTACACTGAATTTGTACCGAACTATGTTGTAGTTTACTCTCAGCAGCACCAATGTGATCAAGGGATAAGTGTAGGTCTCTGCTCAACCCTTCCCAGTATGATTTTTATGAGAGGCCACTGCTGCTCTTTGACCTTCTCCTTGGCCATTCTAGGACAACTGGACTATGTCCCTCACTGCAGCGGCCATGGCAACTTTAGCTTTGAGTCCTGTGGCTGCATCTGCAATGAAGGCTGGTTTGGCAAGAACTGCTCAGAGCCCTACTGCCCACTGGGCTGCTCCAGTCGGGGGGTGTGTGTCGATGGCCAGTGCATTTGCGACAGTGAATACAGTGGCGACGACTGCTCTGAGCTGCGGTGCCCAACGGACTGCAGCTCCCGGGGGCTCTGCGTGGATGGAGAATGTGTCTGTGAAGAGCCCTACACAGGCGAGGACTGCAGGGAGCTGCGGTGCCCCGAGGACTGTTCAGGGAAGGGGCAGTGTGCCAATGGTACATGCCTGTGCCAAGAGGGCTATGCTGGGGAAGACTGCAGCCAGCGCCGGTGTCTGAACGCCTGCAGTGGGCGAGGACACTGCCAGGAGGGACTCTGCGTCTGTGAGGAGGGCTACCAGGGCCCCGATTGCTCAACAGGTAGGAAGGGGAACACTCTGGGGCTAGTTGGTTGGGGAGGACGAGCAGAGGGGAAAGAACAAAATAATTCCCAGTTTGGTTGTACTCATTTGCTTTCTGTGGCAACTGTTTTTGATTCCATAACAATTGGTGAGGTCACATCCTGATGAGATCTAGATCTCTAGTCTTGAGACTAGAGCAAAGACAATAATAGAGATGACAAAGCCTTACTGTCCCTAAGGTAGAGGTGGTTGGCTTATTAGCTTATTGCCAAATAACATAAAACGATGTGGATGCATTATAACGAGGTTTATTTGGGATCTCAGTTCTAGAAGTTCGAGATTAAGCAGCTACATCTAATGATCACCTTCTTGCTGGTGGAGTAGCAAAGTAGCACAAGAAGTCACATGACAAGAGACAAGGAGGAGCATGCATGTATCTCCTCCCATCTCTCTTCCTTATTAAGTAGCTAGGATTCGACCACAGGGGTTCATTCTGATGACTCAGCTAGTCTGATTCACTTACCAATGACCCCATCTCTATGCACCATAGTCAGATTAACTTTGTACTCTTTTGAATAACTCAGAATGGGGATCAAACTTCAGCTCCTGAAGTCTAGGGGGCCATACACAAACAGTATTCAAATCACAGCAAGCAGCAAAAGGTCAGGGGACCATGCGAGATAAGGGTGGTCTTTAACTCATGGGAGTCCACGAATTGCACCTGCTTAAAAGCATCTCCCCGCCCATTACTGTGTCTCAGCATCTTACATCACTGTTTGAGGAAGGATGGCTCTGGTTCTTTATTTATCTGGTTAGCTTACAGATTGCAGGATGAAATTTATGAAATTACCAAGGAGCTGACATTTTAACAATTAATATAGAATATTAAGCAGATATGACTCATTCTGTTCCAGATGACTATAGCACAGACAGGAACCAACTCCATATGTAGCCTACATTATAGAAAACGATCGGTCGCTCATGTCCTGCCATGGTATTCTAAAACCTAAATCCATCAGTGAGGGAGACGGCAGTATTTCACAGGGCTGGTGGTGATTTTACGTTTTTTCCCCCAGATCATATTATTTTCTTTGTTTCTCTATTGTTCATCCTCCTCTGATTAAATCAGAAACTATTGCTGATACATCTGTGCTCTTACAAGTATAGGTTAAGTAATTGATCCTTTCCATTGTGAGCTCAGAATTCCTCCTGGGAATTTTTTTAAGTAAATAAAAATAAACAACATTTTAAAGCTTTCTAATTGAGCAATTCTAGTAATTTCTAAAGGACAAATCCTGGGAAGCCAGCTTCCACAGCTTTCTGTCATTCAGCATCTGCATTTGTGGCTTCAAAGTGAACCCCTCTAAAGGAAGTAGGGACAATAGCTCACTGCGTAGAAAAATTTTTTTCCTATGCTACATTTCTTCTATATTCAATTATTTCATCTAGCCCTTCAATTCTGTTTATTGAATTGAAATTTCTTTCTAAAAGTATAGTCATTATACCAATTATTTCAAAGCGAAACTGAAGCAGACATTAGCCCTCAGTGCTTTTGAATCTGAAGCACTGGGACAATTGCTGCAAACCTGAAGCAGAACCTTGTTTCCAACAAGAGCATGAGATTCCTGGAGGCCCCATCCAGAGGCTGCCAAAGGGTCCGCTTGAGTCATTGCTGGTTTAGTGCTATACTACAGCACACATGCTTCTTAATGCAATCAATGGCCGTGAACTCGCATAGGCTTGTTGTGATCTAGACATGCTTTTCCACAGGTCAGGCCTATTTACAAAAGAAAGCAAACGACAACATAACTTTAATCTGATCCAGTGTTCCAGCTGAACTGGAGAGCCGATGCCTTGATCACATCAGGCAAGATTCACCAGCTGGTAACACAGCTGTAACTGGGTCAAGCCCAAGCCTAACGTGCGTGCTGCTTCTGACATGTCAGCCCGGCACTGCTTGAGGAAGACGGCTGCAAACCCCGATAAATTTTCTTTACTAGTTCAAAGTCCATGAGCAAGGACAGTTGCATAATCTCCTGTTTCTATAGCAACCCTGGAGCCACCTCTCATTGCAGGAGGTGCTCCGCTTAGTGCCTGCCTTTAAAACCAAATGCCACAGGTCTCTTCCAGAAAGGGATGTGTGTCATTATCTAAAGTGCTGTTTTACTAGCTCTCTGTGAAGAGGATGTAGGAGAGGGGCCTGTTTACTCATTGTTTGACATTTCTGGTCAGGTGCAGGCAAGACAGCTCCAAGGAGTGCAGAGAGAGAGGACAGAGAAGGGTCAGAGAGGGGGAAACGTGGACAGCCACTTCCTTGCAGGTCACCGTTTTTTCTTTCGCAGGACATAGCGACTAGCTGCCCACCATATGGATTTCACTGTGAGGCCCCCTAGAGCCCAGCATCAGTACAAGTGTCTAGTGACAGCAAGGCCATTACAGTTGACTCCTAGCCTTGACCTTTGCTCATGTTATGTCTTTCTGCCTTGTGCTCTGCCCATGTAAAGAGAAGACAGCAAAACCTCCTGAGTCTGGGCACTTAAAAGAGGCCTTAGAAAAATGCTGCTTTGGGCCTCTCCTTCTACAGACTCGAAAAGCAGCAATCAGAGACCAGTTTCCCCAGAGCCAAGAGCTCATTAAGAATGGAGTAAGACTGTTCTGGCTTTGTGGGAGCCTAACCAGTTTGGACGTTCACCTTCCTAGACCTGGATGGAGGGGGGAGGACCTTGGATTTTCCACGGGGGCAGGGAACCCTGACTGCTCTTCAGACTGGAGAGGGAGGAGGAGAAAAGTGGGGGGAGGGAAATGGGAGGCTGGGAGGAGGCGGAATTTTTTTTTTCTTTTCAATAAAAAAAAAAAATGGAGTAAGAATGGGAATTCTGGCCACCCACCAACTTCTAGCATTCCCTAAACCTCTTTGAGATGCTAAGCCAAACGGTTAATAAAAATGAAATCTTTCACATCAAATACACAAGGAGCAGTCTTTCTGCATAAATGCTGAGAGCAACAACTGTGTTTTGTTTTGAATAGAAGCACCCGGAATCATTTGTGCATACCCATCCCGCGATGGTGTTAGGGCAGGAGCTGGGGAATGAGTTGTTGGAGGCTCCCTAAGAGTGAGCAGGACAAGGTTCCCTGGAATTCAGTGAGGTGTGTGCAGATCCATCAACATCGTTGCTCAGCTCTGTCGAGAGAGGCTGTCCCACCTTTGGCTCCAGAAACCACTTGCTCTATGGAGCAAAACGCAGACTGGAACTGCCTCCCTGCGTGCTCACTAAGTGCCAACGTGAAATGGCAAGGCTGCTTTGGAAATAAACAGTCCTGGATCCTCCAGCCAGCCTTTTCCTTTCTAGCCCCTTGCTTTTCCGCAGCTCAAAATGCAAGCAGCAAAGAGAATACTACTGCAAACGCTTTGTGCCCACCACGCACTCACTACTTGCATCTCTTTTGTAGGTTGCTTTACAGTTCAGTATTGTTTTATTTGATAGTGATTTCTGACACCTTCATGGGCCTAACACTCATCAGAGTGCTTCCACCACAGGTGACAGCAGGTGCCCTTCTCTGAGGAAGATGTGAAGGGAGTATTAGCAAGTCTAAGATGGCAAGATGAAAAGTTATCTGCATCTTATTTGCTTTAAGATTCTAAATCTCGAGCTTAGATCACCCACTACTGTCACCTTTAACTCCATTTTTCTGGAAGAAGGAATAGAAAAAGGAATACCCTGACTTGTCCCACAGGTCCCAAGAGTTGTCCATGACTCAAAATTTAGAGAGACCATTTCTGCCAGAAGGGAGGAGTCCTGTCAATAAGTCTTGGAGTAAAGGTGTTGATTCACAAGAAGGGGCACAAGGAAAACTCAGTTGAACACATGTGTAGGTCATCTGGACTGTTTCTCATGGAGCTTCTACACAGTCCTTGAGGGGCTGGGCACAAATGAAAGAAGGTAGCAGGTACAATGCATAGCGCACTCCACGAAAGAGCTGAGTTTGAGAGTCCTGACTCAGCACCCTGGAGTTGAACACCTCCCTCCACTCAGCACTCCTTTGTGGCTTTCAGATTACTCCACCTTACTGAGCTACCTAGCAGGGCTGCTGCAAAAGGATTTTTAATTAGTTAAGTGGTGTGTCTGATATATTTTATCATTGAGATGTTTTATAGCCTAATCTAGAATTATGTGTTTGCTGACAGTTTCTTGAGCCATTGTCCCTGAGGTTCAAATCCTTGCTCCTGTCTTTGCTTGCTGCATGCCTCAGTTTCCTTACATATGAATTAGGAGTAATAATAAAACTTCTCCTGCTGTGCTGGTGGGGGGGGGGTGAAATGAATAACCCAGGGTAAAGTGTTAGCATTTTGTCTGGGACATAGAAATCTTCACAAAAAAATGCCATAACAAATAGGGGCAGGTTTTCTACCAGTGCACCTCAGTGTTTATAATGTCAGAGCCATAAACTGGGCACTTAAGGGTTTAATTAAATTTTATTTATACTTACTTTAGTTTTGAAAGTTTTTTTTTGGAGTAAATTTTAAGACATGCATGGTAATAATGGTCCAGAGCTATAATCCAAGCAATCGGGGAGATGGGGAAAGGCAGGAAGACTGTCTGTCTTAGTATAGCCTAAGCTACATTGTGGGAACAAATAAATTGACTAAATAAGAAGAAAGTGCAGACTTCCTGCCTCTGGTAACGTCCTCCCTCTTTGGTCAGAAGAAACTGTATTTTCTCAGCTGTTTTATGCAGAGATTGGTTGGGGGCAGAGGCAAAGTAAATAGCCAGTATTACAGACCTGTGATGTTGTTTGTTCCCATGAACTGTGGACCAGATAAGGGTTCCTCAGTTCTCTTAGCCAAGAATTTGAGGTCTGTGGTGTGAGTCCAAGGTGGCAGGCACTCTCCTCTCATGCTCCCATGTTCCTGTGAAAAGCACCTGGCCTGGCCCTGCTTGTTTGTAAAGGGTGAGGTTACCCAGCAGAAAAATTCAAAGCCAATGGCAACTCTGATACCAGTGGGAACCTCCACTCCATACAAACATGCAAGTTAATTAGAATCACTTAAATCTTGGCCTGTTCTCTGCTGTAATCTTTGAGCGGGTCCAATTATAGACACTAGTGTTAGCCTTCTAATTAGTCTTAAAGGTTCAATGATTTGATGCCCACCCCACAGTGAAGCTTCGCTTCCCAAGGGAGCTATACAAGAAAGGCTATCTCAATGCGGTTTAACCTTTGGCAACTCTGCATAGCATTTGCGAAGCTGGACAAGTGAGAAAAGCAAAGCTCTCAAGAATGCTCCCTGATCATCATCTCCAAGGTCAAGGCTAATGAAAATTAGTTTGAAACAAGTTATATTCGCTTCAGAGCTTAAATGTTGTCCGTTTTAAAGAAGGGGAGGAGGGTGCTGTAATAAAGAATTTCTGGGCATCTTCATTAGGCTGTGAGATATAGGACATGTTGTTTTGGCTTCTTATAATTTGTAGGAAAAACAGGAATTAGTCTTTATTTCCACTTGTTAAATCAGACCCTGGCTGTCAGGACAGTCTGACAGCAGTAATTTATTAAACTACCAAACTGTTTAGTTGGTCACAGTGTGCTATGAAAAAAATCTAACAACTGGCTCTCTGAAGGAAAACAGACTAGTAAGCTCTTACTTGTAGCTTTTGCAAATTTCCATGGGGGACACACTTCCTTGGCCAGTTTCAAGCAGCTCATGTGACGTCATTAAACATGGGGTTAGGAACAGATAGGCAACAGGGCGCAGCGATGCAGTATTCCTACCAGAGATGCAACACACAAAAGTCACCTTACAGGCATAGTTAACTGTAAAATGCAGTGAAATGACTTTAAAGTGACAGGTCTTAAATAATTATCTTTTAGATGCAATTTGCTTAATTACTGTTTCATAGCATTTCATCTTTAACAATGGCAATACCCGTGAACAGTCAGGCAAAATTCCTGGCAATTTGACAGTCAGCCTTCGCAAGGCAGTAAGGGACCAGCTCCAGCCCCACAGTCATTGATGGCCTTGTGGAGTGTGGCGTCTTTCAGTAGAGAACCGAGCCATGGAGCCATGAGCCGTGAGCCGTGGAGCCATGAGCCGTGAGCCGTGAGCCGTGAGCCGTGGAGCCATGAGCCATGGAGCCATGAGCCGTGAGCCGTGGAGCCATGGAGCCATGAGCCGTGAGCCGTGGAGCCATGAGCCGTGAGCCGTGAGCCGTGAGTCATGGAGCCATGAGCCGTGGAGCCATGAGCCGTGGAGCCATGGAGCCGTGGAGCTGTGAGCCATGAGCTGTGGAGCCATGAGCCATGGAGCCATGAGCCATGGAGCCAGGGAGCCATGAACCATGAGCCATGGAGCACTCCAGACATGTAATTAGGGGGTGAGATGCGAACAAGAAAGTTGAGTCCGCACTGGGACAGGCAATCCTCTGAGCTCATGCTGTCTGTGTATTGCCTCCTGGTAGTTGCCCCTCCAGAGGACTTGCGAGTGGCTGGTATCAGCGACAGGTCCATTGAGCTGGAATGGGACGGGCCGATGGCAGTGACGGAATATGTGATCTCTTACCAGCCGATGGCCCTGGGGGGCCTCCAGCTCCAGCAGCGGGTGCCTGGAGATTGGAGTGGTGTCACCATCACGGAGCTGGAGCCAGGTCTCACCTACAACATCAGCGTCTACGCTGTCATTAGCAACATCCTCAGCCTTCCCATCACTGCCAAGGTGGCCACTCGTACGTACCATTTCCCCGTCCTGCTTCATTTTTGTTTTCTCCTTCATGAGATCATGGGCATTCATGATTGTAGTGTCTTTTCTTAGTTCGTTAGGGATGCCTGCAATCGTTTGCTCTTGAGGGAAAGGGCTTTAGAAGTGACCCATTTTAAAAAACAAAAGGCCCACCATTAAACAGGCACTTCTGATTATGAGAGCTTCCAAATTCAGGCAACATCCATGAATTCTAGAACAAACAATACTTTAATTATTGAGCACTAGATTTGTTGTAAGCTGGATTCTGATAGAAGTCAAGCAAAGTATGAGATTTATACAGATTTTTAATCTAGTTAGGGACTCAAAACTAGCAGCTATGAAGTATAACAAATAAGGGCCAATGTTACATTACAGGTGGTAAGAACTAAACAGAGTGAGAAAAAATACAACAATGATAACATTAGTTTAAGTCACAGCTGATGACGTCTATTTCTATAAGTGGCATAATTTCTTTACGACTTCTTATTTTAGCAAAATATCTTGATAGTCACTTTAGTAATAGAAGTTGAGGTTCTAGAAGATAATTCAGAAAACTGCAGTGGAGAGTGATAGTAAAGACACAGACAGGAAGCAAGCTGAGCCGTCTCTGTGACGCATAATCTCTGGAAAGTCTTTGCTGTTTCTTTAGAACAAGGAAGACCTCTAGGTCCCTATCTATGTTCTGTATATGCATAGTTCATCATAGAAAAAGATGAGAGATAGCTTACCAAGTGTTAACACTGAATCTGCCCAAAAAAAGAACGAGAAAAGAAACACTGTTTCTTTCCCTACACTGTTTCTTTTCCTTTATACTTCTGTATTCTTAAATAATTACGAAGTGTCTGTATTACTTTCAACTTTCCAAAATTAAGATGAGCAATCTCCCGAAAGAAATTTCCAGTAGTTGGGCAGCAACCTGCATTCGTGCTGCCCCAAATCCAGTGCAGAATCTGGACAAACAGATGCCTGGACACCTCATAGAGACATCAATGAAGAGGGGCCGCTGTGCCTTACTTGATTCTACACAGAGAACATCTGAAGGACGAGGGATGAAAGAAGAGACTGGAACAAGACCGTGGCCATGGAAACAGGGACCCTTAGAATTCAGAAAACCCTTGGGGTCTGTAAAGAGAATTTATGACCAAACAGGGAATAAAAGATTTGAGCCCATTTTTATGTGGGTCTCAAATGACAAATGGCATTTGGATAACATATGCCAGAAAATTTCAGAAAAAGGAAATGTCAAGATAAAAGCATTGGTCTTGAGGACCTCAAAGAGGTCAAAGACTGAAATTGGAAAGATGCAAAGATAGGGACACAGGCTAAAGAAAGTCCCCTTGCCCCACTTGTAGGTGACTAAAGTCTTATGATACTATTGGACTCCTCCATAAATGTTGAGTGTGTTAATATGCCTATAATTATCTCTGTTTATATTTGACCCTTTAAAAAATCTGGTGCCTGAGAACTAGTTTTAAATAGCTTTGGTGACTGTGTAGCAGATCACCATCTGCTGCTTTTCCCACTGTACTGGGGGATGAGTCAACCCCTGGAATCCCTGGGGGATCCAGAAGCTGCTCCTTTCTGATCCACACCCATGTCCTGATATGGGTTCCACCTCTGGTGGCATTTACTGTGCCAATGTGGGGCATCCCCTCAGGCTCACTCCTAGGTGAACTATATGCATAGTTCATCAAAGAAAAAGATGAGAGATAGCTTACCAAGTGTTAACTCTGGTAAACTCACCTTCCATTCCTTCACGTGTCTTCACTGGCCCTGCCTTTCCACCAAGGAGCAAAAGAAGCTTCTTCACAGGAATAAGAAATAAAACAAAATGGAAAAAAAAACAAAAATCTGTCCTTTTCCAGTGGGAATAGCCTGAGAAGCAACACGAACATGGGAGCAGGCTTCCTAGAGAACTGTGAAAAGTCACACTGCTGTATTTCAGGGCTGGTGACTGGAACTCCATCAGGACAAACATATTTCCACCTCACTAAACCTGTGTATATGTGTGTGTGTGTGTGTGTGTGTGTGTGTGTGTGTGTGCGTGTGTGCGTGTTACGGGTGGGGAACGGAGAGAAGAAGAGAAAGACTAAGCAAAGCAAAACCAGATAAGTGAGGCAAAGGTGAGCAAGAGAAGAGAGAACAGGAGGGAATTTAGAGACAAGGAAATGGGAGCAACGCTGTTTATGCCTGTGCTTTCTTCGTAAATACAAAGTGGCAAATTCTAACCATTAGAGCTGTAGTGATTTGAGTCTCTATACTTTCAACACACCTCAGATACTCAGGGAAAGCATTCAGTTTTATTCTGAAGCTGGCCAGTCTCTTCTGTGTCTCCCTTTTCCTGGATATAAAATAGGAACACCAATACTGGCTACTATCTTGCCTCCCAGGAAACCCGCATGGTTTCTATATGAGTCCTCCGAGAAAGGATTTTTATCCGATGCCAGGATCTACCACATGAGTAAGGAAAAGAAAACACGATTTAAAAATTTTTAATGTTAACATTTTCTGTTATGTAATAGAAAGCACAAAACTAATGATTACATGTGTTAAGTCTGCTCATGTATTCACACACACCGAGCACCAGGGCCACATGTCAGTGTGCTGACCCTGCCACTGAGACTCTGTCTGCAGCAGGATTGGGATTGGCCACCACACCTCTCCTCACCCAGGACACCAAGGGAGGTCACAAGACAAAGCACCAGGAAGCGGTCACTGCCCCTGACAGAGATGGCCATGACATTGCCACCTACATTGCTGTGTTCCAGATGTCTCCACTCCTCAAGGGCTACAGTTCAAGACGATCACAGAGACCACCGTGGAGGTGCAGTGGGAGCCCTTCTCATTCCCCTTCGATGGGTGGGAGATCAGCTTCATTCCAAAGGTAACACGACTCTGAGCTCACTTAAACAAGCCTGATGGGTATATCCCTATCCTCAACTTAGATTTGGGGGCAGCAGGAGGGTACTAACTGACGTAACTTCCAAAGCCACTAACGACGCAGGGAGGAATGTTGTGTCTGGGCTACAGGGCATTGCCCTCACAAAGGCCAGACAGAGGACTGCCTAACAAATACAGCCTGAGCTCAGCTCCAGGCCTTGGATGATGGGACATGTGGGAAGTAGTGCCAGGACCCAGCTGTCTGCTGAGGGAGCGCCAGTCTTTGGAGAGCTGTGCTTGTAGTGAGCCTGAAAACCAAGCCTTCAAAGAGTCGAGTCCTGACTTTGCACAAAAGGACAGACAGATGGAACCAGTCACACAGGCAGCCTACTGATAAATACAGAAAAAGTTAAAAAGTTAGCTTGTGGCCTTCAACCTCTGAAAGTTAGAGATATAAAACGTGTCTTGGTTTTCCTAAATTAGTCAAAATGAATTTATAATCCATTCTGCAAGTTTTTCCTTAGACAAATTCATTATTATAACTTGGGAGTTAGGAGTATCCTGAGAGTCCTATGCGGTCTTTAGAGTGGCTGATCTAGTGAGTCAGGGAACTGTCTGCAAGCCACCGGTGCTGTCCCGCTTTCCGGTCTCTGCTGGCTCTGCTCACACTCTCCCCGAGCATCGTCCATGGATAGGGAGTGCAGCACACTCCTTTCCTCTGTCTGCATCCTTCACCATCAAAAAGCATTTTTTGAGTCATTCATCAGACCTAATGACAACTGACACATTTTTGGCTAACAAGACTGTGGTTTTACTGTTCTTTTACTCCAGAATTCCTGGAGCCTTGACTCTTGTAGCTACAAAAGACCTGCAAGCAAATGGAATGTGAGCTCTCATTTTACATTTAGTTTTGCTTAGTCAAAGGACACCAGAGCTCAGAGATCTTCAGTGACATCACCTGCCAGGTTTAAGACAAAAACCTGAATCTCAGGCTCCACTCCAGCGCTCTCACACCCTTATGTGGATTGAGTCACAGCAAGCTAAATACACCTAAACAGATGTTCTTCACAAATCTGTTAGGATATGTCTTGCCTGATTTAAATGGCCAAGAAAGAATTGCAGGCAACTGGGTTTATAACAAGGCAGGAAGAATCATGTCATCCTGCTGTTCAGGCAGGAAAAAAAAATAACTGTGATGTTCTGCTCTGCACATAATCTATAAAACTTTGAATGAGAGATGAGCTAGTCAGGGCAAGCCAAGATCAAATGCATGGCTTCATGGACTCTATGCCGTAATATATAGGTTGAAGCCACGGGAAGGGAACATTCATCATATTGATTTATAAGAGCATGGCTATAAGTTATATATGGAACACCCAGGTGACATAAATAGAGAACAAAGAACACGTAAGAATGGCAGGGTTACAAAAAGGACCTCTGCCTCTGCTATTTCCAAAGCACACATTGGAAAATAAAGTAGATAGATAAATGATAGAAGGATGGAGATAGGTAGGTAGGTAGGTAGATACATACATACATACACGATGATGGGTAGATTACAATTGAAACTCCTGGACCCAACATCATGAAATTGCTTTTTCACATTTTTCCCCACATGTGTTTCCTTTCTCTCTCCTTCCCATTTCTACATGGTGTGAGTGAAGGGAAAACACGATGGTGACAGATTGGCAGCCAAGGCAGCACCATGAGAAATAAAACAGAGTGAGACAATCCTTCTGGGTTTTAAAAATATCTGATCATGTCTTGGACGGTAACATTACATATCCATGCAAGTGCACTATTATAAACAGCTAAGGGCATATTCATTACAATAGGTGCCAAAAATCTTATGGACATTGATCATGACCATCAAACATTAAATCTTTGACAAGAGTCTATCTGAATCACTGCATGACTAGGTTTGGGGGTGTGGGCAAGCTCAGAAAAGTCAGGACAGGCCAAAGAAATATCCTTGAAAACTGGTTCTTTTGAGTCTGTTAGGCATGTGCCTGGCCCCAAGCAGTCGGCTGCTAGTGTGTAGGGAACAGATATAGTCTGCTTTTTAATTTCAATGTGCAGAATCAGCATCCTGCTCCTTTATCTTTTTCTCATCATATGTATTTCCTAGTGACCCCTCTGATCACTCTTTTGCCCTGCTCTCCAGAACAATGAAGGAGGGGTGATTGCTCAGCTCCCCAGCGACGTTACCTCCTTCAACCAGACAGGGCTGAAGCCCGGAGAGGAGTACATTGTGAATGTTGTGGCTCTGAAGGAACAAGCCCGCAGCCTCCCTACCTCTGCCAGCGTCTCTACTGGTAAGTGCCTCCAACTCTTTCCATGGCTGCCCAAAGAACTGCAAGGCATGGACAGGTAAGAAAGATGCTAGGATTCATGGCAGAGTGAAATGATGTAGGAATTTCAAAAGGGACATACTCTGCCAGCCGCTTAGCAGATCGTCTCTCTTAGTGCTCATCTTTGCGAGCACAGAAACCTGGGAAACTGTTCCATTGAGGAAATTCTCTATTAGTAGTTCCAGTATGTTTTACTAATCTCACTCATTAAGAAGCCTCATTCGTCAGCCTCCGATTGTCATAAACTTTGAACCCAGCAAGAGCCAAGTCATTCTCACCTACTTAAGACTTGAAAAAATTCAACTAAACCTTTCTAAACCTCCATCTGTTTTATAACACCGTCTCTATTGAGCTGAGGATTAGATTAAATATAATACACAACATAATTAGCACTATACTGATCAGTGCTTAATACTTGGTATACATACATGTACACAACACATGCTAGAAGTAAAGGCAGTATGGGGAAGACTACTTGAAAACCGTAGGCAGAGTTGCCAGTGATCAAAATAATGTCTCAAGTTATTATTTTGTGCCCACAGTTTATCTCACTCAGAATCATTATATTTTCAAGATCAGTTCATTAATCATGTCATATTTTGCCTTATTGTACTATTATCTGGCAAAGGATGTTCAATCTGATTGCTGTATTTTAGTCCCTGTGATATGCATGTGTGCGACTCCTCAGACTTACTCAAAATTGATAAGTAGTGTCTGGCATTCATTTGGGGGCTCTCATTTATCGATGATGAAGAAGCTGAGATGCAGAGTTTAAACAACTTTCCCTGTTAGCAAAACTGAGCTAGGTGAATACTAATACAGTTTTCTTTTTCATAAACAGAAATCAACATCCTAAAAAGCCAGTCTTAAGTCCAAAACAAAAGGTTGACTTGGGTAGAAAAGGGAACTACAGCACTATGCAATAAAGCAATGTTTATGTATTAATGATTTAAAGTTAGATATTCATATCCAAACTAATAGCATCAGGTTCTGAGACTTAGGATCAGTCTAGAAAAAAACCTTTTTTTTTTTTTTTTTGGTATTAGCTTGTCTTGCATTGGTGCACCGGGATTCCAGAACCATGTCTCAGTGTCAGGATGGGAATGGGAGAGATACACACTTCTAATTTCTTCTCTTCCATGACTGCCAGCCAGGGAAGTCCTGCTTTGACCTGTTTTATATTTTGTGCATCCATTTAAGATTTAGACAACAACAACCCCCCCTCCCGTCAGTTTCATTATGGGGAGTAGGCTCATTAAAACACTGTTATAATCCAGTGAACTTCAGAAGAAATTCTATGCATGCAAAGCCTTGGAGCTCTGGAGAACTCTCCAGAAGGCCAAAGGCACAAGTTTGTTCCCCAAGGTTATGCTGGACACTGAAGACTGGGCTTCTGCTAACACACGTTAATTATTCCCTTCTGATATAGAGTATCTCCAGACCATTCCTATGACTGACGTTAAGAGAGCATAGGTAAAAGGCTGGGAAGAAAAGATGGCTCCAAAGAAGAGAGAGATCATTCCAGTGGAGTAATTCTCTTCCAGAGTATCGAGGGCACTTAAAGAAGCAATCCAACCCTGCCTTGGTCTTATAGCCAAACCAATTTTTGAAATAAAATTTGAAGTACTTTTTGAAGATCCCTTAAAATTCAAATGAAAAGTTTCAGAATTAGAAAACCAGGGGAAAGTTAGGCAATTAAGAAAAGTCCTACTTAATGGAGTAGTGTCATGGACAAAATTATTTAAAAAAAAAAAGTAAAAAAGAAAAACAAGAAAAAAACACATGTATACATGCATTCCATTCTTTGAAAGGACTTGTATTCATTTAGAAATTAGTATTCATTTAGAAATTAGTTCTAAAATTGAAAGCAAGCTGCTAGAACCTTGATTGGAACAGGACATTATGACCAATTGACCAGCGAAGGGCAGAATCCAAGGTGCAGCAGGAAAGATGGCTGACTCCCATTCCTGTCTGCCGCTCTTAGGAAACAATCATTTGATTCTTTCCTTCTGCTAAGCTCTGACCTACACCGACCCCCTCCTGTGAAGCTCTGAGCCCTCATCTGCACTGAGACTGGCTTTTTCAGGGCAGGCCATTTTATGAATGCAAATACAAGACCTCCTGCAGCGAACGCCCTCGGAGCTACATAATCACATTCTAATATGGCCAATCCATTATGATTAGGGTTTTTGGATCTAAAGAGTTGAAGGACAAAAGCTTTATGTGGTTATCTGATTTCCTCTGATGGCATTTTTTTTTTCTCTGAAAAAGCTCCAGTTCAATGAAATGCTCTCCTACCCTGTTCTCATGGATGAAGAGGCTCACCAATTCAGTTCACTAACTCAGTAATCCTTGAGTGTCAGACAGCAAACTTATGCCATAGCTGGGAGGGCATTTGGCCCACCCTGTAATTAAATTAAGTGGAATAACAACGGTCTGAGGTACCTAAAGCTGTGGCATGCTGCAAAGAAACTGTATGGCTGTTTTCTTTTTAAACACTTGACTACCTCAAGTACGAAAAGTTGAAATTCATTTCAATTCCAAACCAGGTAATACTAAAATAGCCTAGTGATTTTCATTTTAGCTGATAGTAGACCAAAAGTCCTAAGCTGCTTAATAGGATACAGCATTGGGCTGAGAGTGGGGGACCTGGCAGATGTTCCAGCTCTGAAAAGTTGAGGAACTCGAGGTTAGCCTGTGGGAGTCCTGAGGGAGACAACCACACTAGAGACAGATTAAAGTCTTCAGTTTCTACTGATTTAAAAATAAAATCTTAGCCGAAGATTCCAGAAGAATCTATGGAAGGTTACTTAAACTGAAGCAAAAGAAAATTTACTGGAAGGGACATAAATCGTTTCCTAGAAACCCAGGACCAGAAACATACCTGAGCCTCATAAAAGTTTTTAACCATAAAATGGAAACTAAGAAATTGAGTTACTCTTTATCTCTTTTCATAAGCTCACATGGTCATCTATTTCTATGTACCCATGCCTCCCTCTCCTCCCCATACCCCTCCTTAGCTCTCCACTACTCACCCCTACATCAAATATTCCCTATTTACCCATTAGTGTGGTAGAGAATCACATCAGCCCTGACTCTACACAGGCTAAATCCAGAGTCAATGTCTACTGCCAGAGAACCTGGGGTACCCACTGTATCCAGCATCCTCAGGCTCAGAAACGTGCAGGCATTTGTCGGGTGGGGAGGATGTGCGCGGGGTTGGGGTAGGTTTACAATAACCACTCTAGAGTTAGAGTTCTTTGTATTCAGATGAGCACATTTTCCTGAATGCCATGTTTCGTGTCCACATATGCAAATGCCAGCCTGGTTGGCCAGGCTGAATAAAGCTAGACAGGAATAACTTGTGAATATTCATGAAGAGACTTTTGGCAAACAAGTCTGGGTCTCATTTATCTCCATTATCTCATTGAGTTTTCCTCTGGGTTCAGTGAAGGTAAGAGCTGGGCAACGGGCAGAAGTTGCTTCTCTCCTCCTGTGTCATTACCTCTGAAAGAAATAAGTCACCTTCCCCTGCCCAGATTGGGAAATGCCAGTACCTGAAACCTATAGTCAATGGATGGAGAAAGAGACCAAGTCCCCGGGAAAACTAATTATCAGTGTCCATGGTGTCAGCAAATGTTTGCTCAAGGAGGAGACTTCCTCTTTCTATATCCCCTCATATTGTAGTGGGTATATACACCTTGGACTATCTGGCCTGATAGAGGTGGTGCTTCTTGTCTGCCAATGTGACCTCTTTTATCCCAATTTTTTTTCTTTTTTTCGAGACAGGGTTTCTCTGTGGTTTTGAAGCCTGTCCTGGAACTAGCTCTTGTAGACCAGGCTGGTCTCGAACTCACAGAGATCCACCTGCCTCTGCCTCCCGAGTGCTGGGATTAAAGGCGTGCGCCACCACTGCCTGGCTAGGAAGGATGGAGTGGGTCCTGCTCTCTCTTGGGTGGTGAAGATTGAGTCAGGCTGCCTGAATCAACAGGTGATCAGTTCTCCCTTAACAAGGACTCTGTAACTGGACTTACCATATCCTGTATTCTGTGAGTGTATTTCCCCCTTTCATACCTTAATAAATCCTTGATATGCCTTAAACAAAGTGCCCTGCTAGCTCAGTCAATAGAGCATGAGGCTCCTAATCTCAAGATTGTGCGTTTGAGCCCCATGTTGGGCGCCACTCATTAAGAGAAATCCACATGCATCTGTTTAAGGGGTATCAAGGATCTATTAAGATATGAAAGAGGGAAATACACTCACAAATACAGGATATGGTAAATCCAGTTGCATAGTCCTTGGATCGCTGGGAACTGATCAGATGCATCATGACTCAGTCATCACCACCCAAGAAGAGCATGACCCTCTCCCTCCTTCCTTATAAGAGGTCACATTGGCAGACAAGAAGCACTACCTGTCATTCCAGATAGACCAAGATCATGGACTGAGCAAATACCCACTATTCCCCCATATCAGTACAATGGGGCAAGGAAACCCATCCCATTGAACAAGCTAGTATATTATGTAAAGGGTAAACAGATGCCAAAGAATGCTTACTTCTGAATCAACATTGTGTTCTATTTCTCATGCAGTCATTGATGGGCCCACGCAGATCCTGGTTCGAGATGTCTCTGACACTGTGGCCTTTGTAGAGTGGACCCCACCTCGAGCCAAAGTCGACTTCATTCTCTTGAAATATGGCTTAGTGGGTGGAGAAGGCGGGAAGACGACCTTCCGGCTGCAGCCTCCCCTAAGCCAGTACTCAGTGCAAGCCCTTAGACCTGGCTCCCGCTATGAGGTCTCAGTCAGTGCAGTCCGAGGAACCAATGAAAGCGATGCCACAAGTACCCAATTTACAACAGGTGAGACTGGGAGGGGAAGAAGGCAGGGGTGGGAGGCAACACGATGATGTTATCAGGCCAGAGGACGTTAAAGAAAAATGAAATGGTGCTAGGCAACCCTGTTCATACAGAGGCTATAAGAAACAAATTAGAGGTTTCAGGGGCTCCTGCTGGTATTGCTATTCCAGCATTAAGAAAAATAGAGTACCCCCCAAATAAGGAGAGCTGGGTTCTCAACCTAACTCTGCTAGCCAGACCTGTGACTTAATATTATTACTCCCTTCCTTTCAGAAGTATTAAGCTTATCCCAAAGACATTTGAATATCCATGTTACTGACCTAAATGACAAATCTGTGAGAGTTCAGAGAAGGTGTCTGTTTCTTAAGATACTTCACTGCCATTTACTGGAAACTAGAAATTCTCTAAGCCTGAAGTGATGTCATTTCATCAAAGACAACTCAGTCTTGTGCAAAGCACAACCTGCATAGCCACCAGCAAACCTTCCAACTGAGGTACCTGAGTCATGCTGCCATGGGCAACCTCTAACAACAAGGCTAATTAGTAGAAGACAGGCCATAGACACAGCCATGGATAGGAAACTGAGCTAAACCCATTATAATTTTTTCCCGATCTTGCAATGATGCCCACAAGAGAGTTTCCTCGAACTTAGCAATAATCCGAAAAGCCAGGCCTCAGAGTGACTCACTTCCTGACTTGGAGTCCCCCAGCCTGACCAGTCAGGGGGTAAGAACAACAGGCCCCACTCAAAGGTCAGGCAAGCAAGGGCCTGATCACAGGACAAAGTCTGAGTCCCTGTTAATCTAGAATTTTGGCCTAGAGACTGAGAGAGTGCCAAAAGAAAATTAAGGCAGAAATAAGTCAGAGGATACCCAAGATGGCCTCCTTGGGGAGGTTACATGTCAAAGAATGCTTCTGCTAGCTCCAGGTTTTCCCAAGGATCAAAGAAAACTGATAACACCTGGAAGATCTCAGCACCACTGACTTCTGAAGAAACATGAATCTCCCACCTTGGGTTGTGTAACGGCGTAAACAAATGCAGACAGATTGTAAAAATATATATATATATCTATAGCTTTAATGTAGAAATAGACTTACAGAACCACCGTTCCTGCGGAGACCAGGAAAGCAGAAGCAACGGCTGGGAGCATGCTCGCCAAATTTATAGGCAGACATTAGCCCGAGGCGAACACGCCCCCAAGGGGCGGGACCTATCCCTACAGGGTTGGAGCTTGAGAGTCTGCTACAAGATGAGTCAAAGACTCCAAGAATGTGCAACAATTAGCACACCTTCTCTACCTGTAAGATATATGCACCCCCAAAATATGACCGCAAGTATAGCAGATGGATCAGTGTTACAGGTAGACAGATTTGAAAACTGAACGAATTGAATTACTGGGGAAGATATAGGCTAGACCGCCCATGGGGACGCCCTGGACTACTTAGGTTAGAATTCAGACTATGGAGGAACAGGGAGCAGTTGGACCATTATGGCAGCCTGTCCCATGAGAGAGGGGAGTGGACTCTCAGTGCCCAGGCTTTGCTTCACAACTCTCCACTTAATTCCACTTTCCCCAGTCAGAGAGCCCATCCAAGAGTCTTACAATGGGCTCCTCCATAGAAGCAAGCAAATGCACTGGTAAATTTCCCTTTGAAAATGTGTGGACTCTGGCAAGCTCCAGGAGGCAGGCTAGAGTCTGCCAGCCACTCTAAGTTCTTCTGTCAATCCTTGGTACAGACTCCACTTCCTTGCCTGGGGAATAGCCAGTGGGCTGCTTTAGTAAACCTATCCTGAGATTTCCAAAGACTGAGTGTACTTCTTAGAAAAAGACAATCAAATTGTTCTCGTTTCTCTTCCTTTCTCCCCCACTTAGGCAGGAATGTTTATGTAAGAGCATGAGGAAAGCTGGTTCTGCAATATCCATTTTTGGTCTGGAAATTTGTGGCACATCCGCGCGCTCACACACCACACACACACACACACACCATGACTTGCTCAGGCTGGTGGTATTTGTGCTGGGCCACGTATGTTCAGCATTCTCCTCTTAATTTCAAGATAGTTTGTATTTGAAAGTGGTTTCTTTGTGCTCTGCTCTGATAAGGAGTTTGAAGAGGCAAGAAAAGAGGAGGGGCCTCTCAGGCAGCGTGATGAAAAGTGAATTCTCGATGCTCAGGTCGGCAAGATGGAGCAGCGCTGGCTGCTGGCCCGGGAAAATTCCAATCAAGACAATTACATCCTGCCTCCTTGGAGAGAGCTCCCCCTGCATTTCTGTTCACTGCAGCAGGAGCTGCAGGTTGCCTGGTGGATTGGCAACTGTGAGGTGGCTGCTTCTCCATGCAGCCTTCAGCCTGTGCCTCAGACCCATGTCTGCTCTCTTAGGCTCCTAGAGGGGAGGGGGAAGCGGGGATGGTAAGAGACAAATGGCTTTGCAGACAGATTTTCCAAGTCCAGAGTTGGCAGATGCCAGTTGAATGATGAAAGGGTATGCAGACCCTCACAGTGGGGCCCTCAGTCGGTTCAGAACTCCGCTTAAATTCAAATTAAGTAAAGTGTTTTTCCAGGTGATGGCTTCGACACTAGGAGCGCACTAATTGCACAGGCAATTAAAACTGAGATTTGCTTCCTGCATGGTGAGTAGGAAGTTAGTCTGGGTCGTAGAGCTGCTCTGAAAACAGAGACCATGGTGGAAGCGCACAGGGGCCGGTAATTAGAAGGAAGCCAGACTAGGAAACCTGGAGTTCCCTCCTACTTCAGCGGCCTCACAGAGACTTTGGGGACAATTTCCCTTACCATGGAGGACTTTACTCTAGACAGAGTCCTCAAAGAGCCCTTAGTCACCAGTGCCTCTGATCTGAATGACCCTCACTTAGGCTTAGTGCTCTCATGGGTTGCAAAGATACTAAGGCCCTGACTCCCCCCATACTCCGGATGTTTTTCGAATGTGGAACTAGGGTCCTTGCTGATGGGCTAGTTGAGGGGAAGGCATCGGGATAGGCTCTAATCCAACAACTGTGTCCTTACCAAAGGGGGAAAGCAGGACAGAGATGGACATTACCGGGAGAATGCCAAGAAAATTAAGGCAGAAATGAGTCAGAGGATACCCAAGATGGCCAGAAAACTCACAAGATGCTGAGAGAGATGTAACAGACTCCCTCCCAGCTCTCAGAGGGAAGCCACCCTGCCAGCACCTGCATCTCAAGATTCCAGACATTGCTTTCCTACTCAGACCCCAACATGGGCCGTCATGTGTGGCAGTCTCAGATAACAAATACAAACATCCAAGCCAGAGCTTCATTCCCCTCCCTCCTCACTGGTGACTCCATTCTGGGATTCTCCAGCAAGTTACTTGAAAGTTCAACCTGGAAGCCCTCGCTGCTTCAGTCAAGACACTAGCTATAGATGGCAGAGAGCTCCTGCTTCTGTAAGGCTCTGTCTCATGGCTGCTCTGTTTCCTGCACCCCCTCACTCCAGGCTGCAGCTAAAATATTTAACACGTCATTGCTAAAAGCTTGGAGGGAATGAAAAGATTGAGAAGTGGATGATACATGTTTCAATTACTAACCATGTACTTTTTTAACATCTCCTGGGCCCACAGACACTGCTCTAAGCACTGAGGCTGTAGACAGATAAGAGCCTATTTCACATGAATGGCACCCCAGTGGGGAGAACTGGGTGGCAAAGGGAAAAGGAACATCAGAGATCATTTCAGCCATGAGTTCTGAGACAGAGAGTGAAATGGATAAGGCAGAAGGAGAGCTCCAATGGATGAGGTCTACCTCTTAGAGAAAGTCATGCAAGAGCTACAGAACACTCCAGGCAAACGTAGCAGCTGGTTCAAAGACCTTGGAATACAAGTTCATGTGTCTCAAGAATAAAAAAGAATAGAAACGTTTAAAATGGTCTGCTCACTCAGTACCCAGTTAGACCCCCACACTTGCAATTAAAGGAGCATTTATTATTGAGCAAGAGAACGTTTTAAACAAAGAAAAATCTGATCTAACTAATATTATCAAGACTAGACAGGCTAGTGCTAAAGTTCACAGACCCAAGCCCCTCCATAAAGGCTCCATTAGCCATCTGTCTTAGCTGACATGTTTCAGAGACCTGCTAAGTCCCCATCTACATGGATGTCCTCCAGCTGTTCTTTCTCTCCGACCCAGAGAGCATGGCTTTTATCTCAGCCAAGTTCTGAGACTCATTGACCAAGTCCTCTTTCTATCAGTGAACTCTTTTATAATTTCAGAGGTTGGAAACACCCATTCCTTTCCAGTAAAACACTGTCCTCTTCCCATAGAGTACAGGTCCATGGCCATTAGATTGTTCTCTCTACCCTATGAAAAGAGGAAATCTTGAAAACAACATTTTCCAAGTATAGGCATAGATCCCCACCTTTACTTGATTAGCTATCTTTACCTCTGTGATGGTTAATACCCAACTTGACAGGGTTTAGAACCACCTAGGAGACGCACTTCTGGACATGTGGATGAAGAAGTTTCTACATCGGGTTAACTGAGGCGGGACTCAAGCTGGTGTTCTAGATGCATCAGATGGAGAAAGCAAGCTGAGAGTCAGTGTCCAGCCTTCACCCTTGCTGCTTGCTGGTTGTAGATGGATACAAAGGGACCAGCTGTCTGCTACACTGCGCCCCAGACCTGTGAACCACAACAAACTCTTCCTTCCTTACATTGCTTCTGTCAGCCCCAGCAAAGAGAAAAGTTAAGTCCAGACTCAGTTCAGGCCCTAGACTCTGCCAGATCATTCTTCCTGCATGAGATCTGATTCCCTTGCATCTGTCCCCATGCCCCTCCATTGATACAACCCCCGGAGAGAAAACGTACAAGACATCAAGAATGAATAGTATCCCATATGGTAGCACACATTGAATGAAGGCCAATTTCTCAGAAAAATAAGTTGCAAAGACATCCATGTGTTCAAGACTCCCCACCCCACCCCCACTTTACATCAGAAAACAGAAGCTTCTGATTTCACATGAATGCAGTCTCTTCCATGGGGACAAATAGGGGTAGTCTACTTGCCTGGTGGTGGCAGATTGACACAATCTACTTAGAACAAGCAACAACAATTCTAGTGCTATATCCAAGTCCCCAGGACTGGAACTATCTTGGACTTTTTAAGTGACAGACTTTCAAGACAACCATGTATTATACTACAAGTTGTAGTGAGCCTGTTGAGTTGGTCAGCCCTGGGCGAGAGAAACCTGGAAATTATGGGAGGAAATGCCCATAGTCATGGGAACTCTAGGAAGCCAAGAAGACACATTCAGGTGCCATACTATTGTATTCAGGAAGCTCGTCAGAGATAACAAGCCATCCCAGTCTCAGACACCCGACTTTTGTACCTGGTGTCATGCTATGCACATCAAGTATGTCATATAATCTAAATGGCAACTTGGATTGTTTTCCCCCTTTTTAGGAGATGGTCATTCTGTTCTAAGAGCTTGAACCATTTGTCTGTGGTCCTACTACTGTGGGTGTCAGAACTGGTTCACACTGAGGCCTGACTGCAAAGCCCATAGTCTAACTACCCAAGGACTTGTCATGGTAGAACCAAAAGACGAAGCACCATCTTCAGACTTCATTCAGATATGAGGCAAAGGGTCAGGGGTGTGGCTTTCACCTCAAAGATGGTTAGAATTCAAGCTGTACCATGAATGTATGGAATTACATGTGATTGTGGTGATATTTGTTTATTTTTAGAGATTGATGCTCCCAAGAATTTGCGAGTGGGTTCCCGCACAGCAACTAGCCTTGACCTTGAGTGGGATAACAGCGAGGCAGAAGCTCAGGAGTACAAGGTTGTGTACAGCACCCTAGCGGGTGAGCAGTACCATGAAGTGCTGGTCCCCAAGGGCATTGGTCCAACTACCAGGACCACCCTCACGGGTGAGTAGGATGTTTGTTGGCTCTTGGGATGTTTATTGGCTCTGTATCCTCAAAGCTCTCTCTCCTCAACTGATTTACCGCACATCTACTCCACCCACAAATCCTACTGACTTAATATGTTACATATCTACCAAATATATCCCTGCATGCACTGCTATCGATCATTCTAAACTTGGTTCATCTCTTGCTTTAACCATGGCAATAATCTACGTTTTAAAAACCTCTATCTAATCTACTCTTCATCCCAGCAACACTGAATAATTTTTCAGAGCACATTTTTATTATGCCATTATATTATGTATACATCTGAGGCATCTAGCAATGCCTTCAGGATGAACAACCCCCGAGGCTGGCCTGCTTTTCTCTACTTTCCCCGGGCCACCTCCTCCTGATGCTCTGGTGGTCTCTGTGCTCCTAGCCCATGGGTCTGCTTCCTTCATTTTCTCAAACACAACACACTGTGCCTCCTGCCCCAGGGCCTTATCATTGCTTAGCTCATACCAGCTTCTTTCAGCAGCAGAATTGACATGTTACTTGACGAGGAACAAGGTCAAACAGTCGCCTCTCTGCACCGTTCTGACACCTGTGGGCAGGACTGTTTGACCTTGATCCTGCACCTAAAGCTCCATAAAAAGTCAGTCCACATTTGCTTTGTTCGTTGTTGAATCCATGGTTTAGTGCAGTACCTACCATGTACTGGATCCTAGATCAGTACTTTTTGGATAAATGAATGGCTAAGTGAATGAATGAAGCTGCAAAAACTGAAAATGAGAGCCTGGCCAATTCCTTTTACATCCTATAAAGTGTTTGAGCTGTGGTAGAAAAAAGTAAGGAATCATTGAGGGGCTTTAAGTAGTTTTGCATTTTCTTACTTGCTTTCTGAGCCAGGGTGTTACTGTGTAGCCTAGGCTGGCCTCTAATCCATGGTCCACCTGCCTCAGCCTCCTGAGTGATAAACTGTAAGCAAAAAGCATCATGCTGGCTGGGTAAGGGATTTTAAGCAAGGCAGTGCAATGAGTAGGTATGTACAGATAGGAGTTAAGGCTGAGACCGACTGGCAAGAATCTGTCTGTGATGTCAGAGAAGGCAAGATGGTGTATGGATAAGGTCATTCCCTAGGTCACCACAATGCACGACTGGGGCTGGGGAGCTGGGGACAGACCTTAGAAGAAACGGGACCCAGTCATGGCTCCTCCTGATGCCACAACACATCCATCTAAGAAAACACACCTGCTGAACTTCACCAAAAGGTGGGAGCTTGAAGTGTGCCATGTGCTTTTCATATGACAAATGAACTGCACAAAATGCTTTGGTCCAGAGGCTGTCCATGAGCCCAGAGACTTTATCTAATTTATGTCTTAGCTTACAAAAGCATTTGCTATCTTACTAGTCCAGGAGTGCTGAGCAAGAGTGAGAAGAGTAAACGGGAACAGGATGATCAAAGCTCCTTTTCCTCCTGAGCTGAACTCCCAGATCTCCTTGCCAAATGAAGCTAGTTAAAGTAGATATTAAAGAACACCTTTTCCAAACAGATACACAACCAGAAACACAACAAGGAGATGGGAAATATGCTGATAAAGTAAGCTAGCAGGAGGGAATTAGGCACAGAAGGGACCGCAAGCTGGTACCAGGGCCTTGCTGAGAACTGGTGACATTTATTTAAAAAAAAAAAAATCCTTTAATAAAAACTGAATGATACAAGAGGAAGCGGCATCTCTGCCTACAGCTACAGGATGATTTGTCAAGTAACAGTTTTACAAAAATGATGGTTAATTGTCTGGATAGAAGCTACCCTATAAAATCGTAGAGAACCAGCCACAGCGTAGTTATGATCCCCCACTATGGTGGGGTGGAGAGAAAAGACTTTGTGTTCACTGGTACCTGTTTCATACCACATATTTGCAGCTATGAGCATTCCCATTGTCTAGAAGAGAAAGCCAAGGCTCAGAGATTCTGGAAGCTTGCACAAGTTTACAACAGTAGCAAGGGACAAGGGACATGGTGACTCAGAGCAGCTTCTGAACCCAGTGTGGAGGCCTTCCTTCCCTGTCAGCTGCCACCACTGCCAAGTCAAATGTAAAGGAATATCCGAATTTAAGTCCTGCAAGCCTGTAGGGCCATGGGAGATTTATTATTGAGTAGTGGGCTCAAACAGGTTGATATTTTGTGTTTGAGTAGTGCTTATATATATTACACACATGTATGTATGTATGTATGTATGTATGTGTAATATGCATCTCCTATAATTGTCCTAGAAAATTCACTGCTGAGAAATTTATAAATGCAAACCACTGCATGATTTAAGGAGGAATTATAGTCATATAAGAAAGCCAAGTATAGTACATGTCTAAGTCCAAGGTTTATTGTTCTCTTACTGAAGTATCTGGGGGAAGGCAGGCCCAGGAAGGAGAGATGGGGGAAGGGGAAAACATTGGTCCCAGTTCTAAATAACTGTATCTTCTCATTCATTGCCCTATTTGGGCCCTGAAGAGGAATTTCTCAGCTTATATGCCCCGTGTGGACCTCCAGAAACCTCTTATTTGACTGGGACCCAGACTCATTGCTTTCCACGAGCCTGGGTCAGCTGACCCCCTTTCCAAGGCTCTTAGTCTTTATGGGTAAGCAACACCACTCACCCCATAGAACCATCATGAGAATCATCTATTTAATGTTTTTACTCTTTTTAAATAATAAATTATAACAAATTAGAATAAGATATAAACAAAACCTATCACACTGGAGTGGAACGAGACAAATAGAAGGAAAAGAACCCAAGAGAAGGAAGGCATAAGAGACCCACTCATTGGCACACTCAGGAATCGCAGAAGAACACTAAACTGGAAGCTAATATATACACAGAGTCCTGGTGCACACACGTGCGGGCCCTCTGCATGCTGCCTCGGTCCCTGTGAGGTACTATGAGCCTTGATCATGTTGGTTTAGAAGGCCTTGTTTCACTGGTGTCCTCCGCCCCCTCTGGCTCTTACAGAGAATCATAAATTTAATGAGTTCCAGTTAGTGCGGCTAACAGGGGGACTGAAAGTAAATGATAGAGAGAGAGAAAGGAGATGCTGAGGTCTGCTAGCTGATTTAGGATGACCTCTTGATCAGCGTGATGCCCTAAATGGATACAGACCCCAGCTACAGTGGTGTCACTGAGTGAATGTTCGCAGCCTTTTCTGCCTGACCCACTGAGTCACAGTCCATATGTCAGAGCCTCAGGAAGCTTGGGGACACATGGACACACACACATTGGAAGAAGTGGAGCACTCTTTTAGAGCATGGCTTTTGATGTCACCCTACTCAGACTAGAGGTGCACAGCTTCATGGCCATGCATCTCTGACCAGGTTTCCGACATTTTCTGTTGTTCAGCTTCCCGATGTCTACCACAGAGCTGTCAAGGGTATTACATAAAACCACATGCACCATCGTATCTACGTGGTGCATTTGGAGCCTGGATCACATGGACTGCACATTAGCTATTGGAGTTTAATGTTTGCCTCTCTGCAAAGTTGCCCTAGACCCATCACAGTCTGGGCTTTCCCTAGCACACCTTTAGGCCTCCTTTATTCTCATAGGCGATTGCTACCATAGGAAACAGCGGTACCTGTGTTTACTGTTCTTGACAGAAGCCCTTGTCTGGAGTTACCATGACCCTTTGGCTCTAAAACCCAGGACTTTCTTGGCTTTGAGGGTTCTGAGTCATTTAAAGGGCCTACACCAAGCCCATACCTATCAGTCCCCTTCCACAAGCCTTGCTTGTTACAGCACAGAACCCAGGCTCAGGTCTAGAATCCCAGACAGTCTCTCATTACTCTCTGTGAGGCAATGCCCAGAGAATTCCCTCTGGGATACAAGTTTGCTTCAAAATATCATACGGTGCATCTGCAGTGGTTTTTTGCTTTTCCCTTGCTTGGGTGGCTTCTGAATCTTAAATGCTAGGTCGTTTCTTTAAGGCTCAGCCTTTGAGTCTCTATGGTATCTGCTTGGTCAATGTTTTATGCCTAGAGTTTCCTCCACAGGATCCCAAAGTACAACAGATTCACAGGCTTGTTAGGGCCTCTCCAGGTCAGACCCTGGCACTCTGAAAAGACCTAGAGCACAAGCCTACTCCTGGTGGAGGAAGGGAAGGAAGGAGGAAGGAAGAGGAAAAAGGAGGAGGGGAAGAAGATTCTGCATTCTTGACTGGAATAAGGTTAAAGAAATGCCCTCCTGCTAGAGACTATTGGAAAATTGATTAATAATAATAATAATAATAATAATAATAATCATCATCATCCATACTCTGGTCTTTGTGTCTGAGGTGATCCTCTGCTCTGTTCTCAGAGAGGCCAGAAAAGTGTGCTCAGTCATAAAGGAATAGGCTCTTGGCCCCTCTCTTTTCCTCCGACACTGTGTCCAGGAGACAAGGTGAAAGGAGCTGGTCTCCACGGTTCCTCACGAGTCCTTCCTAGCCAGCCTGCTGATGCTCTGCACTGGTATTTCAATCCTTAATCAGCAAGCTGATAATCAGAACATCCATCAATAAAGGAAACCTAGAACCCATAGACATTGTACCATAACCTAAGTTGTAGAGAGAGCAGAGTTACAGCCACCACCCATCTCAACTCACACACGCACATATCATGTACACACAAATGCAAATAAGGACACAAGTGCCCACACATGTACCAAAACACGCACATAGCCATGCATTCATACCCACATGCAGCAACACTCACCCATGACTACATGCATACAAATATACTCACACAATCACACTTTCATATTCTCACAGGAAGTAACATTGACTCATATATATACACACAAACTTAAATGCTCTTGCACAAATACACAGAATTACACACTCAGTTGTGTATACATACATACCATTGACACACTATATGCGTTCATAGACTTTCACATACACAAATACATACAACTATATAGGCCCATATACACACTCATACCACATATGTACCTATATACACAAATAATAACACATTTGTATTCACACTCA